GTTGGGGATGAGACTGCCACCTTTGATATGTCCAAAATAATGAAGAGGCCCTATCAAGATAGTGGAGAGTGTTTTTATATGGATGTCATAGATTCTATGGTGGAGGATTGCACACCTAACATGCTTTCTGATGAAGCCTTCTTTGATCTTTCGTTGGTTGATAGTTTGTCAGCAGAGGATCTTGAGTCCCTCCCTAGTTTTGATTGTCTTATGATTAGTGGAGAGGAGGACTCAAGTGATGCTAATTCTGTGCAGGGGGCGAAAGATGATTTAGATGAGGTGGAGAAGGAAAATTTTCAGTCCGATTCATTTTTTGTTACTCCTTTATTAAATTTAAAGCCTCTTCCATCCCACCTTGAGTATGATTTTATTGATGACAGTCCTGACCCCCCTGTTTTTCTTGCATCCGGGCTTGAGCTATGCCAAAAATCAGCATGTCTTAATTTACTTAGTGAACAAAGGGAAGCTCTAGTTTGGAAAATTTCTGACATGAAAAGGATTAGTCCATTCGTTGACTTATTCTTTGCTAAAGGGTCCGATAAAGGTCTTGATCCATTCTTTTGCTTTACGGGTGGCCCTGAGATGCGTAACTGTTTTCATGAATTTAAGGTCTTACGCCATCTCAAGGCATTTGTTGATAGGAGATTTGACATGTGGAGAACTAGTTTTATGAGTGGGAGTGTCTTTGTTTGTTTGCTTTCAGAAAATAGCGCTTCTTGGGAGGCAACTCAAGCTTATATCTGCACTTTTGTCTTTGTTTGTTTGCTTTCAGAAAACCCCCGAAAAAAATAAGAAAAAAAGAAGAAGAAAAACGAGGTGTTTTCTGTTTTTGTTTTTGTGTTTCGTGTGTTTTTGTTTTTGCAGCTCAGGGTCTTGCGTTGGGGTGATGTGCCGAGGATCACTTGACTCAGTTTAGTTCTGTACCGACCATCGCCTTAGGGAAGTTTCTGCGACTCTAATTATGGCTTGTTTTGTAAATGTTGACTTGAGTTGAGATTGAGAACGTGTGACCCTTTCCTCTTTACCCCTTGTGCATAGTGCATTTTTGGTCATCGAGGGCGATGCCAAAGTTTAAGTGTGGGGGAGTGAATTGGGCATACGGGCAATAGTTGTTACATGTGATTATTAGAGTTAGCATGCGCAGGTGTTAGTTGTATATTCATAGGAAATTCATGTCAAAATTTTTGAAATTTTTTTCTTTAAACTTTGTCTTTGTGAGATGGCTAGCGTTTTGACTATGCTTTTAGAATGTTCTTGAAGTGTTTAGGCTTAATTTGTTTGCACTATAATCTAGTGTTGAGAGTATGAAGGCATTAGTCACCCATTTAATGAATTAACAAAGTTCCTATTTGACCTGAATAAGTCCTTTAGGAGAAGCCATTTTGAGCCTGACCGTTTGTTCTTTACCCAATTAATTGAGCTTCATAGCCAAATGGCCTGTGTTTCCTTACCCGTGAATATTTTTGACAAAGTCTTAGTGTTTAGGGAATTAAGGGATTAATTTGCTAAGTTTAGGGAATTTTTGTAGGAGCCATTTTTGGCACTATTCCTATGCCCCAAATGGGGTACGAGCAGTCACTTTTTAGGAATTTGATATTTTCGAGGATTGCATTGTAGGCATGGATTCACTGTGAATAATTGAACTTTAATTGCCAATTTTGCTTGGTGAGGCCTAGATTAGAATGGGGTAATGTCTAGTAAAAATATGAAAAGTGAAAAATTAATATAGCTAGACCTCTTGCCTAACGAAAAAGAGAATGGGAGCCCCGGTCAAAAACAGAATGGGAGCCCCGGTCAAAAAGCGTCAGATGAGACTTGGGTATATTTCGAAAGGAATGACGTTCTCGTGCCAACATAACAAGGAAAATTAAACTTAATTAATGAACTTGGAGGCTATTGCAAAATTAGCTTTAGTCCTTCGCGTACTTCAAGTATACGTCAAAGCACAGATGTGCCTGCGCCGATTTAGCTTAGTTGTACACCATGTCTGCTCTTTGCATAGGTTTAAATGATTGTTCCTAATTTGTGGCCTACTAAGTTCCTTGTTCCAAAGAATATCCCCGAAATTACTGAAGACATTGAGTTTTTGTTAGAATATTCCGATCTCTCAAAGAAAGGGACTGATTTTGTTTATCCATTGACCATCCACCACCACCTTCACAAGTCCTTCTGATCAATAATTAGTTTAGTTGTGTGTGCTGTCACTACTTTGAGGATATTGTGAATAATTTTGTCAAATAGTTTAGCTTGAGTACAAAGATGTAGTTTAGGGAAGAATTTTCTTGGTTTAGACTGTTTGTTATGTGAATATCCCTTTAACTACATGTGCATGCTAATTATTTTAATTCGGTGTGGTGATTATCGTGAGTCCCGTTGTTCAGTTTGCTTGAGGACAAGCAAATGCTTAAGTGTGGGGGAATCTGATGAGTCCATATTTAGACACGCATTTGATGCTTGTTGGGATCGGCTTTTGATAGTTTTCCTAGCTTTAAGGTGTTGCAAGTCTCAATTTTAGCTCAAGTTTGTTTACCAGGCGTTGGTTCGAGTTTTGTGTCATTTGGAGTCAAAATCAGGAATTTAGAGTTCGGCATCGGCGCTTGAGGAGCAATCGGAATGATTCGAAATGCATTCGAGAGTGGATTGAGATATTTGGAGATCACCGGGAGGTTCACGATGAAGATTTGATGATAAAAGAGCTCTAGGATTCGCTATGGGATAAAAAAGAAGATGAATGAAGCTTGAAAACGACGATCAGAATGACCTTGTGTCAATCGTTCAATCATATCTCTTTGTAGAAACATCCAATAGACACGATTCAAGTTCCATATGAAAGCCAACTTCAAGCTCTACAAATCATATGAAGACACCATTCCGAGAATGTGAGAGGAGAAAGGTGAAAACAAACGATGAAGTCGGATGCTCGCTGTTGAGATTTCAGAATGAGAACTTCCACCATTTTGATCATATCTTTTGATTGGATGATTCAAATCCCATTCGGCAAGTTGTGGTGGATAAAGGACTTCATTATATACAACTTTCATGAAGAAAGTTTTGTCAAATTCGGAATTTTTATGCACGCCGTGCGTAGGGAAACGCACGACCGTGCGTCCGAAGTGAGAACGCAAGGTAGCTACTGCCAGCCACGCACGGCTGTGCGTGGACGTTTTTTACGCGGTTTGTCTGTCGGACGCTGGGGGACGCACGCCGTGCGTGGGCTCCATGCGTGCCCCCCAGTAGCCCCGTTTTACGCGGAAATTAATCCCAACTCGGCCAGAATTCGTTTTCCCCCCTTTTTTCTATAAATAAGGTCTCCCTAACCCTATTGAAGAGGTTACGAACATTACGGCGAGGCCTAGGGACGGATTTACTTGCGTTTTTACCATTGTTTACTCCAAGACCCTGGGATTATTTGTAAGTTCATCTTTTTAATTAATGACAATTAATTCTATTCTTTACAATTCTATTGATTCTTCAATTATGAATTGTGAGTAGTTTAATTAGGGATTTGTGATTGATGAAGGGGTTGATCATGATGTATGGCTAGGTTCTTGTTGGATTAATTGCATGAATGCCGTTTAATTTGTGTGTGAACAATTTAACAGATATCTTTTGTAACCTAGAACGCGCGCTAGAACTACAATTGCTTGTACAATAAATTAAGAGAGATCTAATTTATTCTAGGACACATTCACACACACTTAATAGTTTGCTAAGAGATTAGAAGCGATTAAGGGACCGTAAGCTCGCTCGTCTTGGCAATAATTTAGGATCCTATCGCATGAGAGATCAGCCTGGTCCCCTAAATTATTGTACTCTACGCCGCGAGAGCGGTAAGAACTTAGTAATGATTAACTAAGCTCAATTAAATTAATTTCATGTAATTAGGCCTGATCTGCCAGAAATCTGGTTACCCCGGAATTAATCCTTGTTCCCTTCGTCGTTAATTAAGAAGAAACCAAATTTATTTTTATTCGTTAATCTGCATTAGTTTAATTTTCTAAATCAACCATTTATCTCGCACGACGCATTTATTTTATTTATTTCTTTTAATCGGTGAATTTAGTTCATTCTTGATTCCTTTTTGTCTGTCCCTGTGGAGACGATACTCGTACTTACACCACTATATTACGATCTATTTGATGTGCGAGAAAATTCAAATCACTGTATAACCAAGCTTTTCTTAATTTATTTTTGAAAACACGTTTCTTAGTTTATTTTTGGAAACACATCCTAGTTGCCTTGGGTTTAGGATTTACTTTTCTATAAATACAAGTTCTCTCCCTTGTAATCATGTGTGGATCCGAAAATAGCAATAATATTCCTGGCTTGGTAGCGCCCCCAGACGTAGTCATTCGTGGCGAACTGGGTTACTAAATTTTTCGTGTGTTCTTCTTATTATTCATCGCGTGCGTTTGTTTAATTCCTAACAGATCCAGCATGTCAAAATCAGTTCCCGGCAATAGTCTATGATTCAGACAATAGCTCATAATTCAGACATTAGTCTTCAGTTTCAGGTCGTTGTGCCAAATATAGCCTAGAGAACAAATAACATATATCAAAACATATTAATGTCTTTTTTTTGTCTTTTTATCTGGTAACCACTAAGAGAAAACAATTAAGTTATCAAACATCTTTGTGTCACTCGTCAAACTAATGTACCGGCCAAATTCATTACTTTATCGGATATTTACAACTCGTTAACATTTTCCGCTATCAGATAAGAATTTTACTTGGTGTCCATGTCCGGTTACACGCCGGCTTACACGCCCAAATGTAATTGTATATGCACAGACAATTACACTCGAACTCAGTAAAGGAAAGTGTCTGTGATCCTGAATTGTCTGTCCATAAACAATTCATTTCTTCAATTCAAACAGTTCCTTTTATTAAAATTCTTTGCACGGTACTGTGCACGAGAAGCAAAATTCATAGGATAATTGCCAAACAAGCTTATGATGTTTGCGGTTTCCCAACTTTTAACAACCCTTAACTAGGAGTTGGCGGGTTTGGTCTTTGGTCGTTACGGACTTTACGGTCAAAACGGGTGTTTTAAGAATAACGAAGAAAGATGCATAACCTCTCCTCCACAAGCCCGTTCGGGGTCGATTCGCCTCTTCCTCCATTCTCAATCGAGCATGCCCCGATCAAGGTAACTTCTCTTCATCATTATCCGTTCATTCCCCCCTCCCATTCTTCCAATAAGTACATAATCTTTTCAAGTGTAATAAAACGTGTGCTATGATTATTCTATAGCCAGTTTATTTCATTATGGTAATCGTTTGCAATCTGATCTCGATCAATAATTCCAACTCCCGATTGTTAGGTTGCTGGTATAATTTTGCACCACAATGAATTTTCTATTGATGAGGTCGAATCAGGCTGCTGCTCCTGCTGAACTGCCGCCTGCGATTCAGCCCGGGACTAGCTATGTGTCAAAGCCGAGTAGTGGTACACTTGGTGCACTTTTTGCGGAAGATCCCTTATTACAGACCAAGTCATTTGAGAACCATGATGGTGACAGCGACGGACATGGGAATGATAGTGGGTTTATTGCCGGATCAATTGGGACGGGGAATCACATTGAAGTTACTGAAGGTGAAGGGTGGATAGCTATTCCAAAGAGTAATCTCTTGCTCCTTTTTCTTGTCATGTAGAGAGCTGCTGCACTTAATGTATATGGATGGTATTATCCAAGTAAGAAGCTTAGTTGATTTCAGCCCTTTGATGGGCATACTCATCATTTTCTTAAATCTCCAAAGCCAGAATGATTGGAGGAGTTAACATAAATTCTATAGACTTTAATGGAGTTTGTAGAACTTGCATTTTTTTGTCTTGTAATGTTTAACCATCATTTTTTACTCTTGAAAATGTATGCGCCAATATCTTATGCAGTATATGTGAAGCAATTTTGCTAAATCTTGTTTCTTAAATTTGAAAACCGTGAACCAATTTAACAAATATGCATACTCAACCCTTTTACGTGCGGGGAGGCTCTAATCAGCCAAAAGCTCTATGGTAGAATAAAACTGATAAACCAATGCCAGTTTGAGACTTTGAGCTTGTGCAAGGTTCCTGCGAACACTCGAGCGCGTAAATCTATTCCTTTGATTACGTTGCACCATGTTCTGCCACCATTGCTCTACTCAGACCATTGTTCTACTTACTTGGCCTTAACCCCCCATTTGGTGCAATTACTTTCTCAATTGCATAAATTCTTCATGCAATAAGGGGAATCTAAATAACATAAGCTGTTGGCTATTGCTAAGCTTGACAAGCTTTCGCAGAAGAGCTTCCTGATAACTGGAGTGAGGCACCAGACATAACTTCCTTGCGCTTGCTCGACCGCTTCTTTGTTTTTCCTGGTAACTATTCCTTTTCTGTCACCCTTCACCCTAGATCTCCAAAACTGTTTATACTGGTTGGAAGGAATCCTCTCTGTTGTGATTGAGTATCCTTTTTCTTGTTAATCATAGGCGAACAAGTTCAGGTCCTAGCATGCCTGTCAGCATATAAGAAGGATACTGAAATTATTACACCATTTAAAGTTGCTGAACTTATGAACAAAAAAGGGCTTGGGGAGAATAACCACAAAGAAGGTGGCAGTGATGTGACTGACACTCATGATGTTTCTGACAGAGCAGAAATAAATGACTGCGAAGATATTAATAAGACCAATAAAATTAAAATGCAGGGGAATGTTGAATCTGAGAAAGAAGTTTCTGCGGGTGCATCTCTTCTGAGAATGGAAGATTACAAAAGACAGACTGAATCCCTGCTGCGAAGGTTTAAAAACTCTCATTTCTTTGTCCGAATTGCTGGGTCAGAGGAGTCACTATGGACAAAAAGAAAGCTTATGGAAGACTCTTCTGGTTTTGATGAAATGTTCATGGGGATTGGTTTAGATGCTAGGCATACTACAAAAAAGAAGCCTCCTTCAATGGCTGCCATTGATAGAGGGAATTTTGATTCCATCACATCTGGAGGAGTGGGAAGGAATGCTGCCAAGTGTTGCGCTCTTCCCAATGGAAATATTGGGGTATGTTTCAACTAATTTGATGGAAGTCACTGTATAAATCTGAACCCTTACGGCCTTACCTCCCAAACCCCTTCTCTGTTTAGGGGATTTGGGAAGGAGGGGGTGGGTGATTTTCAAAGGAAAGTGGAAGTAAGAAACTACTAAGAAATTCATGATTTAAATAAGGAGATACTACGTATTATTTTCTGCTGCGGTTCTAATAAATAGGGATGAATTAGTAAATTGTTGTGGTGCTATGGGATAATTATAGGCTAAAGTAGTTATTAGATTCAAATGTGCTGATACTGGCTGTCTCAGAGCTTCTGAATAAAAGAATATGAACACACACACACACACACACACACATATATGTACGAGGGGAGACCTGGAGGGGTTTGTTGATGGCACATTGATTTTACCTTAGGGGCATAAATGAAACCTAATGTTTAGAATGATTTATGGGAATTATTAGCATAATAATTGTAATGCAATGAGTAGACGTATTCTTTCTTACGTTCTTAGCCGAGACCACTTTAGTTATTGACGTATTGGTGGGCATGTGTATGTGTGTGGAACAACGTAAAAATTATTATTTCTGATATTCATAATTGTGAGAGTTTTTCTTTAACGTGCAAGGCTGTTTTCTTTGTTGAACCAAGTATTCTCTGAATTGATAATTTTTAAATTTACTAAACTTGTTCCTTCAATTTATTGTCCGGAAGGATACAGGTACTTTTACAGATAAATGTTGGTGTTGAATTTGTGAGGGATCCTGTATTGGAAATTCTTCAGTTTGAGAAATCTCAGGATAGAAGTTTGTCTTCTGCTGGCCATGAAAATTCAGTGTGTCCCGACCAGGATCCATGTGGTGAGCTCTTAAAGTGGTTGCTTCCTTTAGATAATTCTATTCCTCCTCCAGCACGATCCCTAACCCCACCTCATTTGACTTCTACTGCAAGCATCCGAAGTACATCTACAAGGGTTACCTTATCCGGACCAACTGGATCTCAGCTTTTCTCTTTTGGAAACCTCAGAAGCTACTCCATGTCTTCACTGCCGCAAAATAGTTTACCACCTTCATCAACTTCAACCCCCAATTCTGGACCCAGCTTTGAACCAGAAGATTGGGAGCGGTTTTCATTTCGTAAGGCAATCAAAAGTGAAAATAGCGGTAGCAGAGGGCTTTTGTCCTATAGAGGTGTATCATTGGAACCTGAAAGATTTTCTGTACATTGTGGTTTGGAAGGGATTTACATACCTGGAAGGAAATGGAGGAAGAAAATTGAAATAATTCAACCACTTGAAATCACTTCTTTTGCTTCTCACTGCAGCATAAATGACCTCATATGTGTTCAAGTAAAGGTATGTTGCTCTTAAATGTTCTGTTATTTGAACTTTTAAGAAGTTTGACAAAAAATGTCATCTACCCCACATTTTATTGCTTAAAAGGAATGATTTTATTCGTTCATCACTTAATCTGAATATGTAATATATGTGAGTGTGTGTAGAGATGTTGAGGGAACAATTAAAAAAAAAGATTCTAAATGTCCACCGGATGTGTTCTGAGGCTACTATTTGTGTGCTGATGTTAGTGTTTTTCAACACCCCTCTCGAGCCGGAACTTGTAGAGCGAATTCTCCAAGTTTTAGTGGAAATGTATGACAGCCAGATGTTTGAGCTGACAAATGAGGTAATAATCTCCCGAGAAGTGAGCATTATGGTTAAATGACAATCACTGCAATGTTTTTTTGTTCTTCCGGAGCACTTGTTTAGAAGCAATATGCAATGCCGCTTGATTGTCACATATATGTTTCATATATCCCTGTGTTCAAATATTTAATTCCTTAAGTGCTTTAAGCCTTTAAGGAAATAAGCTCACAAGCTCTGAATGTCATTGAACCCTATCTGTCATCCGCACTAGTTTGACTACTATATCCTAATGCTGACCTCTTATCCCTGGCCCTGTGACTTCTGTACAGGCACAAGTTTTATACCATAAATCATATCTTCTGTGAGACTTATGCTTTTTTGTGGCTTTCAATGAAATGGATAAAGTGGTGTGTTTTACGTGGTTGTACCACAAACAAGGCCAGCATAGTAATATCATTTCTGAAATTTGAAGGGTAGTCAGGCTGCAATGGTAATTCATAAATTGAAAAAACAAATACGGAGTAGTATTGTTTACAATAGGAAAGTGGAATTTATTTTGGGCTGAAGTGCTGTACTGTAAAGGACAGCAAGGACATATTGAATGGGGCAGAAGGAGTGCATCCCAACATCCGAATGATTACATCTCAATTATTATCACAAGGAGATGCTAAAAACTGACTAATGCTTACATAAAAGTGATGGCATTTCTTAATTGCCTCCTATTCCTACAAAGATCTGCCACGGGCTTAACTTGATCGAAGTTTAACTTTAGGACCCATAGGGGTGTCAATTCGCCTATAGTTTGCTATACCGTCATACCCGTTTTGTTTAGAATATCCACAGCATATCTTCAGCGAGACATGCAGTGCAATGCTTTCCCCAAGAAACCTCAATTCTCAAGAAGTACTTGATCTTACCAAGGCTGTTAGTGTTGAAGTGATATGTGTAACAGAAGTATGCGTTCATCAATATCACATGTGGTGATGTATTATATCAACATGTATACATGATAGAGATTTTTACCTTGAACTAAACCAAAATCCTGAACCATTATACTAAATTGACCAAGACATGTTAGGGGCTTAGGGGATTGGTTTAAACCATAAGGAGAGTGGTTGAGCATACAAATAAACTCTTATCCTTCCTGAAAAACAAAGCAATTTGTTGTATTGGAACTTACAAGACTATTGACAACTCAAGAGATGAAAATAGTGGGAGTTCTACAATTCTTAAGCCTTGCTATTAGACCCATCTTCTTTGGTGAAGTTGTAGGTCAAATCGAGAAAGAAATATGGGTAAAAAGGATAGATTACCCCAAATTTGATCAGTGGCCATAGAGCGGTGGATTTATGTAGAGTTTGACTGTGACGCAGGAGCGATAGAAAATGTCTTGTGGATAATGGTAGCCTAGAAGGTCTTATATTATACTCCCTCCATCCCTTATAACTTATCCAAGTTTGACCGACATGTGGAATCAGAAAGTAGAAACTTTGTGACATAGGTCAATGTAGGAATAGGCAATGTCCCTCCATCCCTGATTACCTAAGATCCCTGATTCCTTCACTATAGGCCAGTTCAATAGGCAATGTTGCACCTATGACCAACCCAAAGGCAACTGCAGTACCAATCAAAAGACATTGCTAATGGATGATGAAATGGGTTGTGGTATTTATCAACATTTTCTGAAAAAGGTATTGTTACTAATCTTGCCAGTACTACAACCACTAAAGAACACCTAGTATTTTGTTAGGCACTGTATGAAGAATTTGAATTACAGGAAAAATTTCTGACAAGGTTGGGAATGTATTTGCGGGTTCACCAATCATTGATGAAAATAGTGGGAGTTCTACAATTCTTAAGTCTTGCTATTAGACCCATCTTCTTTGGTGAAGTTGTAGGTCAAATCGAGAAAGAAGTATGGGTAAAAAGGATAGATTACCCCAAATTTGATCAGTGGCCATAGAGCGGTGGATTTATGTAGAGTTTGACTGTGACGCAGGAGCGATAGAAAATGTCTTATGGATAATGGTAGCCTAGAAGGTCTTATATTATACCCCCTCCATCCCTTATAACTTATCCAAGTTTGACCGACATGTGGAATCAGAAAGTAGAAACTTTGTGACATAGGTCAATGTAGGAGTAGGCAATGTCCCTCCATCCCTGATTACCTAAGATCCCTGATTCCTTCACTATAGGCCAGTTCAATAGGCAATGTTGCACCTATGACCAACCCAAAGGCAACTGCAGTACCAATCAAAAGACATTGCTAATGGATGATGAAATGGGTTGTGGTATTTATCAACATTTTCTGAAAAAGGTATTGTTACTAATCTTGCCAGTACTACAACCACTAAAGAACACCTAGTATTTTGTTAGGCACTGTATGAAGAATTTGAATTACAGGAAATATTTCTGACAAGGTTGGGAATGTATTTGCGGGTTCACCAATCATTGATGGTTCTAGAACTGTTAAACCTACATTACATGCAATACTACCAAGAATAACTAATGGAAAAATTTATAAGAGATCATCAGGCCATGCGGACTCCCCTTAATAATTATGACCCATAGCTATTGCTAATTTTTCTGTTCTTATAGGATCATTCAAATCATAATTGTTTTTTGTTATTGGGGTAGGTGAAGTTATATAGATCCTATCCCTGAGAGAACCGGGAGTTTCCCATTTCTCCCACCCTCTTTATAATCGAACAAGGGGTCCGATTTTAAATTAAGCTGCATGCGCATAGCATTGACCATTGGGTTGAAAAACACTTTGAAGTGCAACAGCTCCAACAAGTTCACCAGAAACCACTAGCTAAACTGGAGGATTTGTATGAAAAGGCTACTGTATCAGTATTAGGTTCTGGAACAGTGTTTTGGGTCATTAGAAGTTCATAACAGTGGTCATGGTTGCATGAAATTTGTGAAATTGTCCTAAGAAGGTTGCGGGGAAGACACTAGCTAATCTGGAATATTTGGCTCTCGATGGAAGAAAGCCTCACGAGTCAACCTGTGGTAAGAGGAAGGATATAGGTGATGTGTGGAGGCCCGTGCATACTTCTTCAGGAACAGGGTTCTTCAGATTAATTAATTGAAGAAAACAAAACTCATGGTCTTTGGCCCTCTGCCTTCCATTTTCAAGGAAGAAAAGTATCAGCCCACGAGAGTGTCTCAAATAGCCCTATAACTTTGTTAAAACTGGGAAGGTTGTCTTTATATATCTCATAATACAAAGGTACAGTATGGATGAGTATGTAATACTATGTATAGAGATGTTGAGGACACAACTAAACTAAAAAATGGATCCTGAATAAGGTATGTGACGTTAATGCTCGTACACATATTTAATTATATTTTTACCCTCATTATCAAAAATATATTTTTGAATTGAAATTTGAAGAATAATCGTATGCATTTAGCACATGTTTAAATCAAATCAAATCAAATCAAATCATCATTTACCCCAGTGCCGCAAAGGCTCCCACGTACGGTGAAGTAAGGGGGGTCGGATGTACGCAGTCTTACCCCTGTACCAAAGCACAAAGAGACTGTTTCCGGATGACCCATAATGAAAATCGCGTCCAAAATTGCATGGGCTGACTGCTGCTTCATAACAAAGAAGATCAGACAGTTTGGTGAGCCATTTTGCTTTATTCCATCATATTCTCAAGCCAAAAAACTAAATGCCCTTTCTTAAATGACACATAGTAAGTTTTAAAGGGGCATCTAGGGGACATAGGCAACATCAGTTCGGTTCTACCGATGATGCCTCTCTGGATTTATGGTTAAAATAGTAATTTGTTAACTGGTTAATGGGTAGAATATTGTACAAGTGAAAGTAGGCTAATCTTCCTTTACATTTCAGTTCTAAGTGTTATCATTCACCTATGCAGAATGTTGCTCCAGAACACACACCTGATATCGTTGTGTATATAGATGCCATATCAATTGTCTTTGAAGAAGCTTCCAAAAATGGGCCACCTTTATCTTTACCAACTGCATGTATAGAAGCTGGGAGTGACCACTGTTTACCAAATCTAGCTCTCAGGTTTCTCCATTTGATCTTATACACTTTTCTAAATAAAACATCTCTACATTGACCCGATCTATTTTAATTGATGGTTCATTTTGTATACTTAATGATGTATTCTCTGCCTTTTGCAGTTCAATTACACTCTAAATCCTCAAGATTGGCATTACTCCATATTATTGATCTACTCTCCTTGCCTTCTCTTGAAATACTTGCACCAAACCGACATTGTGCTACCCATTATATTGTTTTAACTGAGATTAGAATGTTAAGATAATTGCATAATAACATTATGCAGATGGCTTTATTTTAAGCAAGATAGAAGAGAATGAAATAGCTAGACATTGAATGTACTTTTCCCAATTAACAAGTATACAAGGTTTAAAATCAAATTAGCATTACTGGGAAGAGTGGAAATAATAGCCACGTATAGAGCAACAGATAAGTCAGCAGGATTTAGTAAACTTTGAAGATCTGCTCAATGTTATGCATAAAGTTTAAATGGTTGAAGAGTATCATATTTTAGTATTCAAAACAAGCTCACCTCATCTGTTAATCAACATCTAACACTTGAATCTTCTCTGCTTTACCTAGTCAATATAAATTATTTTTTCATAAATTTTCCAACAGATACACTATTTCTTATTCATAGATTACTGTTTGATTTTTATTGTTTAAAAAAATACTCCCTCCGTTCTCCAATACATGTCTCCCTTTCCATTTTGGGATGTTCTCCAATACATGTCTCCCTTTCCTTTTTTAGAAAGTTTTTTCAATAAATATACCTATATACCCTCATTCCCTTTCCTACTTTTTCCTTTACACACAACCCACAACACCTTTTACCTTACCCCTATTAATTTCTTCTTAAATCTTGTGCCAAAGGCCATAGAGCCATCTATTAGAGAATGAAGGGAGTATGTATCGGCTGACTCAAGCCCTCTCCCATGGAAATTACCATTGTTCTAAAACTTGCTAGGCGTTAGTCGGACGGTTGAGGGGTGCCTAGTGCCTAGGCGGCCGGCTAAGTCGATTTTTTGGCCGACTAGGCCAATTTTTAGAACAATGGAAAATACTAATGTGTAATTCCAGTACGTGTTCAACACGCACACTGCACTTCTTTAGAAGTTCTTGCTTCATAGCTTATCTTGTTACTGTTCGATTTTTGTTTTCCTTTTCCTATTTTTTTGAATGAAATATGTAGCTAGTTTTTTAATCTTTTCTAGCCCAAAGACTTTTGATTGGGTAGATGCTTAATTAGCGTTAAGAATTGGGTTTCGTCCTAAAAGGTCAATCATAGGAATAATACTAACTTATATATTAGTTTATTATTTTATACCAATCCGGTGTGGGACAAATATTTTTACATGTCCTCAACTCAAACTGGGCAGAACAATATGTGATTAGATACATAGGCCGAATAGATCCTAAATGGGCCACTCTAAATCATGGGTGTCAAATATAAAATCAAACATTCAAATCAAATTCGGACTTGACTCTCATATCATGTTAAGATTTGACATCATCAATCTTATATGAGTAATCCATAGTCTTATATAATAATTTAGTGTTTTAAATCAATTCGGACATGCGGTGTATACAACAAATACTTCAGCAATAAGTATTTTTTCTTTTTTGCAAAGATGTACAATCATTATATTATACCAGAAGTGTCGTGATTCGTGAGTATCTCAATTCGTCAGATTTTTAAAGAATTTATATTAAGAGATAAAGAACTTTTTCAAAATAAAGTTCTTTTTCAAAAGTGCATCAAAGGGAATTAATTAGAAAATCAAATGAAAGTGAAGCTTTGCTCATTATCTATATGGGAATAATTGGTATAATATCCCCTCCCTTCCGCCATACAAGAATATTAAATAAATCAATCAAACTAGTTTCCTTTCGAAATTGCAATAGAAGATATAAGAACAACAGAAAAACAATGACACATTCAAAAGATGAGTGTGACCGTTTGGTAGAGTTGCGTATGTTGCGTTGAATGGGTGGACATACTCACATACCCGAAAAGGCCGCTTGAGGAATGAGATAGTCAGAAAAAAGCTTAAAGTAGCACCTATAGGAGATAAGATGTAGTCTCGAATGCGATGATTTGGTCATGTGCGTAGAAGATCGAGTAATACTCTTGTTAGACGAATTGAGAGGTGGGGAGAAGAGGCGGAGATGAGAGGGATATGATGATCCAAATAAATTTGGATTAGATGAATCAGAACTGATATGCTTCTTCTTGGGTTGGATGAGAGTATGACTTTGGAGACAGAAAAGTGGAGACGCATATTTGTGTGAACGATTGATCTTTTTTTTCTCTTCTCTCTCTCTCTCTCTCTCTCTCTCTCTCTCTCTCTTTTATCTTCTTTATTTTTCTAAGTTATTATGTTATTTTTATCTTGTTATTTCTAGTGAAAATCGCGTCCAAAATTGCATGGGGTAAGACTGCGTACATCCGACCCCCCTTACCCCACCGTTGGTGGGAGCTTTTGCGGCACTGGGGTAATGATGATGAATGATAGACTACCTCTGTCCCGCTTAAAGGTTCTCATTGTAAAATGACTCAATCATTTGGACAATAATTAAATAAGGTTATTCAAGTATATTTTGATAAATAGTTTTGATGGGTATCTAATATAATGGGGTCATTGATGATAACAATGATATTATAAATGTATTTTTTAATATTTGATGATTAAATTGTCATTTAAGAGTTTTAATTGTTTCTAAAATAGAAATAGGAACCTTTATATGAGAGGTCCAATAAAGGAAAGTGGAAACCTTTGAATGAGACGTCCAGAAAAGGAAAGTGGAAAGTGGGAACCTTTGAATGGGATGGATGGAGTATCTTTCTTATGTTTTTATGTTATTTTTATCTTATATCTTTATCTTGTCTATTTTATCTAACCTTATTTTTTTAATTTTTCTTATCTTTCTTCTCTTTTTGGCTCTAAGATCATTGATCGATTCATGTTACCTGACCCCAAAATCTTTGAGAAATAAGGCTTGGATGTTGTTGTTGTACTCACTACTGCATCTTAAAAATCTCATTTGGGTGAATGTATGCCTTTGACAGGAGAGGTGAGGAACACTCCTTTATTCTCAAACCAGCAACTTCCATGGGGAAAAGATCCAAGGTCAGTAGTGAGAAAAGTTCACAGCTATCAAGCTCTAGTCCTGGAAATGTAGCATCCACAAGACAGTACTCTTTGAATGACAAGTGGAGAAATAGTGTGTCGCCCGCTGATCGTTATGCAATTCTTGTATCATGTAGATGCAATTATACCGGTATAATCTGTGTTTTATTCATCACACCTCGTCATCTATGCAGACATACTCCCACTCATTAGCTTGTTTCTTTCTCTCTGTTGGACGTCCTCATATTTAGGGTCTAAGCTGTTCTTTAAACAGCCAATAAGCTGGCGACCACGCATTTTCAGGGATTTGATGATCTCTGTTGCATCTGAAGGGTCAAAACAAACTTTAGGATCCAATGACAGAGCGGCAGAGCTTCCATCCCAGGTTTTTTGCTTATATTGAGACTTGATGATGTTATACCTACTTTTGTATCTACAAGAACTGTCTGTAATACATATCACTATATATCATCAGGTCCTAACTCTTCAAGCATCAAATTTGACATCTGAAGATCTAACAATGACAGTGCTCGCTCCATCCTTTACGTCTCTGCCTTCTGTGATGTCAGTTAGCTCACCGACATCACCAGGAAGTCCTTTTATTGATTCTTCTAGGCTCTCAGAGAAAGTAAATGACAGGAAAGTTGCTACTTCTCGTCAGAGTGCCAGCGCAGCATTAGAGAGTAAAGCAGTACAGGTGTCAAGTGGTCACAAGAGATCGGTTTCGTTTGATGAGCGAGTCATTTATATACCCGACATCCATCCAAGTAGTGATTCAGGATGTTCACATTTATGGTTGCAGAGTAGAGTTCCATTAGGGTAAGCATCACTAGTCTGTGTTCATTCTTTTCGTTTTGTTTAATTACTCTGCGTCTTATTTCTTTGCAAAAACTCGTGCACCTCAGATGTGTTCCTTCTCAATCGACAGCCACTGTCAAACTTGAGGTTCTTCCCCTGACAGATGGCATCATCACCCTTGATTCCTTGCAAATTGAAGTAAAAGAGAAAGGTATGTATGGAATTCTATGGTAATGTTGAAATTGAAGGGGTGCTAGTAATTTTATTGAATCTTATGAAAGGTAAATAGCATATGAATACTAAGGGGGTGTTTGGATCTGATTCTCAAAAATGATTCTGCTGATTCGGGGAGCAGAAGCAGAAGCTGGAGTGTTTGGGTGAAATTCCAGAAGCACTTCTGGTGCTCTAATTTACTCTCAGAATCAGTTTTTTTAGAAGCTGGTAGGTACCAGCTTCTGAAAACAGATTCTGATTCTGCTTCTGCTTTAAAAAAGAAGAAGCAGAATCAGTTCCAAACACCCCCTAAAGCGTCGACTGTCCTGAACAAAATAATACAGACAAAAGTAATGTGGAAATGAAAAAAAAATGTCATGTTCTCTTGCCTAAACAAATCTCTCACTTTTCCAAATTTGTGAGAAGATTAATTTTAGTGGAGACCAGGGTGCTCTGGTGCCCGCTGTGTTCTACTGTTCTGTACCCTTCACGATTTGGTTTGTCATTTTTTGAATTACTTACTAATTAATTGACACGGAGTAGTATTTAAATATGTTGGCGATTTACTTGTTTTTCATGAAGACAAAATTCTACTTTGTTTAATATATCATATCTGGCATTACAGGCCTCACATACATACCGGAGCACTCTCTGAAGATATATGCAACTTCAAGCATTTCAATTGGGGTGCAATGATATTTTCCCTGATTTTAAGTCACTCACATCGGTGGAGTAAGGTGTCCCTCTCTGGTTCTCTTGCCATTTATTATATGCATTTATTAGTGATGGCTTTGTATCTACTATTCGATAGTGGGGTGGAAATTTCATTCGCCGCCTTTAGATGAGGTTGGCCTTGGTATGATACGCCATTTCTGATCAAGCACTCTCTCTCTCTCTCTGTGAAGCAAACATGCTGTTTTGAACTTTCTTTGGTGATTAAGGAGCATATACTATCATGTCCCTATATAAAGTTCATGTTTTGACTTCGTCTTTAATGTTCATGTTTTACCATTACTATTTACAATTATATATTTATAAGATCTATGATGATTGATGAATTATTACGTACTAGTAGTATTTTAAAGTGATATTCCAAAGCAAATTGTTCAAGGTACAAATTCACTCGCCTCTTTGTCTCCGGGAACATATAAATTCCTATTTACGACCCAAAACAAACATGCCTTTATGGTTTGGCCGTTTGGGTCTTTGGGACATTCCTCAAAATATAAGAGTAAAAACTAGGGGATTTTCCTTAATAGAAATTGTCGAGGAGTAAAGAGGATTTTCCTAAACAGGTTTAAGTGATGTCAGAAAAAACTGCCTAATATGACATTAAAAGCTTCTTTGATTATACTAAAATTGGTTACTGACTTGAAATTTATGAAATTCCGGTTGAAATGATTCACTATGTTAGAAAAAGTAATCATGAAAAATAGTTAAAATGATCTTGTACAGTACTTTCACCAATTTGGCTAGAAAAATAATTTCAATCTTACTTTTTATTATTATTATAAAATTTAGTAATCACCATAAAAATACTCGTTAGGGATATAACTTAAGCTTCGACATTTTGTTCTAAACATGAGGCGTTTCTTCTCTATGCTTCGATATGTTTAATAAAATTCCATTATATTACTGCATTAAAAATGTGTCTAATTACCATATTTTGGAATGATGACCCATATTAATATTCATGCAAATTTACTTTTCAAAAGCGTAGAATGTATGTAAACCATATCATAATTTAAATATATTCCACAAAATAATTACCATCATACTACGTATCAAGTATCAGCTATCAATGAGACTTTTATTATATACCACTTAATACTCCGTATAAGTTTTCTTTCTTTTAAAAATAAATTTTAATATTAAGTATGTGTAAATTTGGTGTTTTGTTATTCTGAAACTCTTGCATTAATGTTTTTTTTGTTGCACTTTCGGTAAACAATACGGAGTAGTATTTTGTTTTCTGTTAAATGTCAACATCCTTGATTTGGATGAGTTTCGAACTTGTGACTTTCTCCTTAGGAGTGTCACAGTGATGTCATCGAACCACAAGATGTTAGACTTGCATTAATGTTAAGAAAGACCTTTTCTTAAATCTTTTAAATTTATTTTGAATCATTCTCAATAAAATATTACTAATTAATTTATATTCCTGTCATCCCAATATTATCTCTTGTTTTTACTTTGCACACGAATTAAGAAAATGAATAATGTGTAGCCTAAAGTTGTGTAGATGAGAGGGAAAGTGGAGACAAATATTGTGAACCATAAATTTTTTACCAAAAAAGAAAAGAGACATTTATATTGGTCAAATGAAAAAGATAATATTGGGACATACGCACTACTATTTCAAATTGCAACGATTTTTCCTTTTTAAAATGTGTTCTTTCATATAAAAACATTGAATATTCACTTCACCCAAAAGAAATTCACTTCAACCGAGAGTAAAATATCATTTAAGTAAGGATGTTTTCTTTTGGACTGTTTTCAATCTTAGACCAGATTTAAAGAGATCAGACCAGATCATATCATACTTGTACATGTATAAAATACATAGAGATCAAACATTTAGCAGATCAGACTAGCTCAGATCAAACCAGACCAGACCAATAAATTTCAATCCAAAAGAAAACATCCTAATAATTGTTCAATCCAATGCCTAAATTACCCGACTGCAAAGCGTGAGCGCTACTTATACCATGGATAGAGTATTTTTCATCCTTTTTTTTACTTCCCAATTCCTAATTTCGTTGTTTGACCTTTTATCTGTATCGACCATCATACTTTCTTGGGTTGAAAAAGGATGTGTCTCATATTTATATATCTATAGTTTTATATAGTAAACTTGAGTTAAAAAAAACAATGATGTGTCAACTTCTTATTAGATAATGGAAATTCTATTATCATTACAACTAGATTTTCACCCGTGCGTTGCACGAGATGCAATTCATAATTAAAAATCCACGCATACTATATGTGTGTATGTGTATAATGTTGTAGATGTTTAAATTCATTTATTCTAACGACTCGAACCCAATTAATGTACTACTCTGTCCCCTTTTAAATGTCCCGGAGGAGGGTGGCACAGATTTTAAGAAAAGTAGGTTTGTGTGGTTGATATTAATTGATAAAGTAAGAATAAAGTAGGAATGATTTTGAGCCACATAAACTTTACCAAATAAGATATGGGACATTTAAATAGGGACATCCCAATATGGTAAAACGGGACATTTAAAAGGGGACGGAGGGAGTATATAATAACAACACTAATGGTATACATTTCCTAAAATACATTGTATGATAGAACTTTTTATCACTATGTGATAGAACTTCAATACATTTGAATTCTTATTCTTTTTATATTGGACTATGTGTCTCCTCGATAGAGAAATTGGATTAAGAAAAACCGACCAAATTTTTTAGTGGATGTTCCCGTTTTTAATTAAAAGTTATGTAACTAATCATTAACAGAAATTGTTTAACCTTTAGAATTAAATGAGTCTTATGTGCCAATCCAAATAATGCTTGTGAGTTGTGTAACACTGTAACCCGAACACAACTTAATACTCCCTATTAATCAGTTTTAGCATTAATAAAGCCGAATTTGAATTGGACTGATCGTTTTTGGGGAAAATATACCACATCTGACCCAATGTTGCTTTCGTTTATTTAACTAAGGAGTCGTGGCTCCAAAACCCATCAGATATGTTCCGATTCCAAAACCGTAATTATGTTTACCATGAATATGGATATATACATAACAAATACATATGTTGGGGAAGAGCGGGAAAGCTATTGTAGATCCATTCTCACTTAGACTAGTCACTACACCCGTGCGTTGCACGGGGATTGCATTATATACATGTATAATAATGCCATAATTGAAAAGAGCAAAATGGAAGGAAGTCAATCACATGAGTCATATATATTACATAAAATTAGAACTATTCAAATTGAGGATGTTTGATTAATGAAATTGTAAATAAACAAATCACGAAATTAAATATATTAAGTTTTATATGATAATTATAAGTCATTACTAAAGCGGTAAATAGAGATTTACTATTTGAAGAGTTATGATATATCTTCCGGTATAAAAGATTGTCAGTATATCTTATGATTTAATTAGCTTGCAATGTTATTACTTACGGAGTAATAACATTTTAATCTCACATAAATTAAAAGCTATAATTTATTAACAAAGAGAATATTATGCCATTAATCCAGTATAAACGTAAAAAGATCTTATATTGTTATCATATTATTAATATGTACTCAATGACGTAGGCGGCGGGGGGGGGGGGGGGGGTGGTACAAAAAAAGGACTTTTTGTAAACAATTTTTTCCTAATAATTGAATTAAAATTAAAATTTGGGGTGGACCGGAATATAGGCTGCCCCTAACTATGCTTATGTATGTACTAAATAAAGCTTCATATTAAGTGTTAACTTTATTAGCAATTACATATAATACCTCCGTCTCGAATTGATTTGCAAATTTGATTTTTTTTTGTCAAATAGTTTCATTTTATTCGCTTAATGTAGTTTCAGAATATGTAAATTTGAATTATTAAAATTGAATTAATTATCAATAAGGAGCATTAACTTTTAATTTTGATTGACCAAAAAATATTAACTTTGCAAAACAAATTGGGACGGAGGGAGTATGATCTATGATCAGTATTAAGATAGTCGTGAACAATAACCATCTGCGTAATAACATATATAGCAGTGTGAGAAGATATGAAAAATTTCCAACTAACATTCCCCACTATTAGGGGTGGACCGGTTCCGGATCGGGCCCGGTTCGGGCCTGGGCCCGGCTGGGCCTCGGTTCAGAAAAATGAGGCCCGAGCCCGAACCGGTGGTGGGCGGTTCCGGTTCCGGGCCAGACCGGGCCGGGCCGGGCCGGGCCACCCAGTTTTTTAATTTTTTTCTTCTTCTTCTCTTATTTAACCCCCTACCCCTCCCTCTCCACCCCAAACCACCTCAATTGGCCCAAAATACCTAATCCAACCCAAAACTTAAAAAAATTTCCAAAAAAAAAAAATTAAATTCCGACCTGAACCGGGCCCGGCCCGGCCGGGCCAGTTCACTAAATTGGAGGCCCGGGCCCGGACCGCTATACCACCGGGCCGGGAGGCCCGAACCGGGCACGAACCGGTTCACCGGGCCGGTCCGGGCCCGCACAGTAGCGGGCCGGTCCGGGCCCGCACAGTAGCGGGCCGGTCCGGTTCCGGGCCGGTTGGCCCGGCCCGAGTCCATCCCTACCCACTATTATCAATAGTCAATAAATGGCTAACCACAATGAAAGTCGACTCCATTGAAGGATTAACTTGTGCCTAAAGTCTAAACTCTAAAGGCGTCAAACAAATTTTCAAAGTAATAATTTTTAACAAAAGATTATATCAGTTGCACCTTAATAATATGAGCTCAAAGTTTAATCACCAACAACACTCGGCTTTTCATTAAGATTTGACACATCAGAATATCCCAATTTAAATTGGACATAAGAACTTCTAAGTTAATGTTTGACACACAAGTCACCAAAGGCACCCAAATTATATGAGTCCAAATATGCCGAAAATGCATTAAATTGTATTGCATTCATCCCATTTTATGTATCTCATTTGACTTTAACACAATTATTAATAAAGTGATTAAAAAGATAAAAGTTGTGATTGAGATTTGAGTATAATAATGTAAAATATTGTGGACCACATATTTCTTTCCAAAAGGAGAAATGTGACACTTATTTTGGCACAACCTAAAAAAGAAAATAACATAGGTAAAATGGGACGGAGTGAGTAATAAGATCTTTATACTAAAACATGCACTTCCTGAATGAAATAATGCAGGATACGCCACTTTTGTTAAAGTCGGACCCTACACATACATATACGTAGTATCACATTCACACATTATAAGCTTGTACAGTTGTACTCGATTAAAGTGCTAAAATATTTGGGAAATAATGATCAACGATTCAACGGGTCTCCTTCAATTATCCTAGAATGTAGAATTTTGGAACAATATTATCCAAGTTGATGGCTTCTCAAA